TTCCTAAGTCCAAGTCAGCCCAGACCATTGCTTTGGGCACCAAATCCAGATAAGCCCAAGTCTTACCTGACATCTCTCATGTCTCACAAGTACCCCAAACTCGTGTCCAGGACTGAACCCATTTTCTTCCAAGTTGGCAGTTCTCAACCTGGGTGATTTTGCCCTTTGTCTCCTAGAGGACATCTGACAATGTCTGGAATCATTTTTGATTGCCAAGATAGGGGAACAGTGGTGCAACGGACATACGTTGGGTAGAAACAGGGGGTGCTAAACATCCTAGAATGTGTAGGACAGCCCACCACAACAATGAATTATGCAGACCCAAACAGTGATTGTGCTCAGTTTCAGCTGCATTGAAACACACACTCTAAATCTCCATTTTTCATAAATGGAAAATTTAACCCAGTACTTCTTTTTATCACCCAGTTGGTCACCAGGCCCTTTCAACTTTTCAGTTTGTCTCAAAGCTAAATTCTCTTGATGTTTGCAAGATGACCTATTGGTTCATGCTCCCAACCGTCACTCACTGAATTGTTGTAAGTATCCTTATCTGTCTTTAATTCATTCTCCACAAGGCTGGTTGAGTCATGCAATCTTTTTAATATGCAAGGCTCCTGTCACTTTCTACCTTCCCATTACTTTTCTTTCTTTCTTTCTTTCTTTCTTTTTTGAGACAGAGTTTCACTCTTGTTGCCCAGGCTGGAGTGCAATGGCATGATCTCGGCTCACCGCAACTTCTGCCTCCTGGGTTCAAGCAATTCTCCTGTTTCAGCCTGCCAAGCAGCTCGGATTACAGGCATGTGCCACCACGCCTGGCTAAATTTGTGTTTTTAGTAAAGACGGGGTTTCTCCATGTTGGTCAGGCTGGTCTCGAACTCCCGACCTCAGGTAGCCTCCCCAAGTGTTAGGATTACAGGCATGAGCCACCACACTCGGCCCCTGTTGCTTTTCAAACTCTCACCACCACACAGGAGACCCTCATGATTAAAGAGCGCTATTCTCTCCTCCAAACCTCTGGTCCCATCTCTGACCATTCCTCTCCCTGTCCCCTAATTTCAGCTATATTAGATTTCTGGTGGCTTCCTGAATACATGCCTCCCACATGCCTGTGTCTTAGTACACCTTCACCCCTCTGCCTGGAAAAGCCTTCCTCCATGCAGCCACCCTCACTGGGAGACATAGCCTGTCTCTCTGCCCCTAGTCTGGGTTGAGTAACTTCCCATCTTTGCAAGCTGTCTTCTGTTTGCCTATCCAGAACTTCTCTCTACTATTTTCCATCCTACTTTGTGTCCCAGGTGGTTGGCCTCTGGACTGCATCAAAGAACTCCCTTGCCCTTAGGATCCTGGTTGGGTTTGGCCAATGGGAGGTACTAACAAGAGACCAGACAGTGGAAGGAAGGAAGAAAGATTGAGGCATTTATTCCATCTGTTTCTTCCATTCAGGGAAGCAGCTGCCTTCATCTAAGCTCGCATCTCCCATCTGGCAGCCCTCTGCAATAGCTGGAGTTGTTTCTGGGTTTCACTAACCACTCTTTCAAGCTTAGCAGTGGTAGCAATTTCCTACTATTGCTAACCCTGGGTTGCTTCTTCCTAAACAGTCTCTTTATTAAATTCTCTTCAATCACGCCTTTTGAGTTTGGCGTCTACAGATGGTTCCCAACTTACGATGGTTCAACTTAAGATTTTTTTACTTTACAATAGTGTGAAAGGGATACGCATTCAGTAGAAACTGGTAAGATACTCTCTCTGGATGCTGGGCAGAGGCAGTGAGCCACAGCTCCCAATCAGCCACGTGAACATCCAGGGTAATCAATTGATAGTGTACAGTGTTACCAGGTGATTTTGCCCAAATATTTTAAATGCATTTTTGACACATTTCCCCACCTTTTTTTTTTTTTTTTTTTTTGAGACAGAGTCTCCTTCTGTTGCCCAGGCTGGAGTGCAGTGGCATGATCTTGGCTCACAGCACTTCACTTCACTTCCTGGGTTCAGGCAATTCTTCTGCCTCAGCCTCCTATGCAGCTGGGATTACAGACATGCACAACCATGCCCAGGCTAATTTTTGTATTTTTAGTAGAAATGGGGTTTTGCCACGTTGGTCAGGCTGGTCTTGAATTCCTGTGATCCTTGTGATCCACCTGCCTTGGACTCCCAAAATGCTGGGATTACAGGTGCGAGCCACTGCGCCCAGCCCCAACTTTTTTTTGAGACAGGGTCTCGATCTGTCCCCAAGGCTGGAATGCACTGGAGCAAGCTCGGCTCACTGCAGCCTCTGCCTCCCAGGTTCAAGTGATTCTCCTGCCTCAGCCTCCCAGGTAGCCGGACTACAGGCACATGCCACCACACCCAACTAAGTTTTGTATTTTTAGTATAGCCGGGGATTCACCATGTTGCCCAGGCTGGTCTTGAATTCCTGACCACAGGTGATGCTCCTGCCTCAGCCTCCCAAACTGCTGGGATTACAGGCATGAACCACTGTGCCTGGACACATATTTCCAACTTTTGGTGGATTTACTGAGACAGGACTGCATCACAAGTCAAGGAATATCTGCATTTCCTGCAGGGACCCTGAACCATGTTCGCGTAACACCAAATAACTGAACTGTAATTTTTAAAAAATATCTGTCTTCTCTTCGGGAGTGCGTTCTCTGGGGCTGAGGACTACTTTTCTGTTGTATCTTAGTATCCTAGCACAGGGTTATGGTAGGGGCTCTTGTGAAAAGAATGAAAGAAAAAATATATGAATATTCTCATAATTCCACACTCTTCTCTATACATCCTTTAGGGTGATGACCATTAGGCTTCCTCAGAAAGACTCCATAGTCATTTGACATATGCGGAATCAGGTCATGTGGGTGTTTTATATCAGCACAAAGGTCCCTGTACAGACAGCCTGGCAAATATGATAAACTTTTGGCTAAGCCACCTGGAGCATGAAGAGTCCTTGCCAGGAGGAGTATGGGCAGGAAAACAGAGCCAAGTATGCTTTGCTGCTGACTTATCTGAAAACCAGCCTTGGAGTAGCGATAAGGGAAGGGGTGGGGTGAGGCTACAGTCAGAGTGGGATTTGGACAGGGCCTTTGGCAGGACAAAGACAACACAGTTCTGCTAGTGATTCGGGGTTAGTAGGGGGTGTCTGGAGAAAGCATCTCTGTACCTCAGTTTCCCTATCTATAAGTTGAAGATCGACTAGATGATCCTTAATGGCCCTTTAAACACAGATAATGTAGTGGATATCTGTAGATTTTGCCTTTCAACTATCCAATCCTCTTTTTGGTAAGAGACACCTTCCCTCTGTCAGCTCATGTGAGCAGATAGACTGATTGTACTTCTGACTTCAAGGATGGGCATGTGGTCCAGGCCTGGATAGCCAGAGCATCCAATCCCCCTGGACAATGTGATGGTTCAGGGATAGGTACAAGGCTTGAGCCTGGCCAGAGTGTTCCATCTCTTTAAGAGATGGGGTCTTGCTATGTTGCCCAGGCTGGTCTTGAACTCCTGGTGATCCTTCTCCCTCAGCCTCCCAAAGTGCTGGGATTACAGGCATGAGCCATCATGTCACATCTATTCCATGTCTTTCAGCCACAATGTTAGGCTCAGGAATAGGCATGTGACCTAGACGGTCCAGTAAATCTCAGTTCTGGAACATCTAACTGTAAAGGAAGAGAATATTTATGCTCAGTTTGCTCAAAAGGACAGAATATAATTCAGGAACTGAATTATAAATGTCCTGCCACTACCAGGGAGAACTTGATAATGGACCCACTAAGGAAGAAGACGGAACTGAGAGGGACGGGAGAAAAAGGCCAGGCCCTGGTGAGAGTTGGAGCCCCTGAATACAGCTGTAGCCAAAACCAGTTACCTGTGTGTTCCTAATTACAAGAGTCAATAAATTCCATTCTCCATTCATTCAGCTTAAGGTAATTTGAGTTGTAGTCTCTACCATTGTGACCAAAGGAGCCCTGATCCATACAGAAACTCCATTTTTCCTTTAAATGTTAAGAAGTCAGACACGAAAGACAGCATATTGCAGAATTTCACTTATAATGACCAGGCTAGGTGGGTGGCTCATGCCTGTAATCCCAGCACTTTGGGAGGCCAAAGCAGGAGGACTGCTTGAGCCCATAAGTTTGAGACCAGCTTGGGCCACATGGTGACACCTCATCTGTAAAAAAATCAAAAAGTTGGCCAAGCATGGTGGTATGCGCCTGTCATGTCAACTATATAGAAGGGCCGCTTGAGCCCAGAAAGACGAGGCTTCAGCGAGCCTTGATTGTGCCACTGCACTCCAGCCTGGAGACAGAGAGAGACCCTGTCTCAAAAAAAAAAAAAAAAAAAAAAAAAATCTCAAAGAGGCAAATCCATAGAGACAGAAAACAGATTTGTGGTTCCCAGAGGGCTGGAAAGAGGGGCACATGGGTAGTGACTGCTCACAGGCACCAAGTTTCTTTTGGGGACTAAGAATATTCTGGAACTGGAGTAGTGATGGTTGCACAACTCCAAGCATACTAAAAAACACTGAATTGTAGGCCAGGTGCAGTGGCTCTTGCCTGTAATCCCGGCACTTTCAGAGGCCGAGGTAGGTGGATCACCTGAGGTCAGGAGTTCAAGACTAGCCTGGCCAACATGGTGAAACTCTGTCTCTACTAAAAATCAGTCGGGTGTGGTGGTGCATGCCTGTAATTTCAGCTATTCAGTAGGGTGAGGCAGGAGAATCGCTTCAACCTGGGAGCGTAGTTTGCAGTGAGCCAAGATGGCGCCATTGCCCTCAAGCCTGGGCAACGAGAGTGAAACTCCATGTCAATAAAACAAAACAAAAACCACTGAATTGTATATGTTAAAATAGTGTATCTTAGAGTATGCGATTTGTATCTATTAAAAAAAAAATTGAAAATAAATTTCATTATAGCCATTGGCGCTCCCCCAGGGAATGAATGGAAGCATCTGATCCCTCTGTTTCCTTGTGATAGGAATAGAAGCTACCGAAGCAAACACTGTAGAATTGGAAAGTGCTTTATTTCAGGGAAACATAAAGGGAAATGAACACTATTATAACTTGGTATAACAGAAGAAATGGTTATCTAGTTTGCTTTCCAAATACAAACATAAATGAGGATCTTCCAACTACAAACATAAATGAGCACATAAGGTAAAATACAATAAGCACAAAACGGGAGTTCTCTGGGGTTGGACTCCCTCATTTACTCAAGAAATTATGAGAACCAGCAGCAACATCCCTCGAGCACCCATCTCAACACTAAGCTCCTTTGTTTTATTTACCAGATGACCAGGAATCATAGATTAGTTTGGCTGCGACTGTGTCTTCTACTGCCATGCCTAGAACAGACAGAAATTTGGTTCACCTTTGGTCAGAACAACTTTTCCTGAAACAACCAGGCCCCGTGACTGGAATTTCCAGTCACGTTTCCAGTTCATGTTGCCAGTGCCTACTGGAATAACGGGGACTGATAGCCAGAGGTGAGCTCAGGCTTGGATGGTCTGCAGAGGGGCAGAAAATATACTAAAAAACACCCACCAACAAATTGTGTGTCCTTTGCTCAGGGCTGAGCAAATTTTTATTTTTTTATTTTTTATTTTTTTGTGTGTTAAGAGTCTCGCTCTGTCGCCCAGGCTGGAGTGAAGTGGCGTGATCTCGGCTTGCTGCAATGCCTCCCAGGTTCAATGATTCTCCTGCCTCAGCCTCCCAAGTAGCTGAAATTGCAGGCACCTGCCACCACACCTGGCTAATTTTTTTTTTTTTTTTTTTTTTTTTTGGTATTTTTAGTAGAGGCAGGCTTTCACCATGTTGGCCAGGCTAATTTTGAACTCCTGACCTCAGGTGATCTGCCCACCTTGGCCTCGCAAAATGTTGGGCTTATAGGCATGAACCACCATGCCCAGCCCGAGCAAACTTCCCAAAAAGGGTCAGACAGTAACTCTTTCAGGCTATGTGGGCCAAAGGGTCTCTATTACAATTACTCAACTCTGCCCTTAGAGTAGAAAACACAGCCAACAGGTAAACAAATGAGACTGGCTGTGCTCCAGTGAAATTATTAATGGAACTGAAGCTTAAATTCTGTATCATTTTCATGCATCATAAAATATTATTTCCTCCCCCCAATCAATTGAAAATCTAAAAACCTTTTCTAGCTCAGAGGCTACACAAAAGTAGGAAGCAGAGCAGGTCTGGCCCACAGACTGCAGTTTGCTGACCACGGTCCAGTGCCAGTGCTGCATCCTTTGGCATCTCCCCTTTGTCTTGTAGTTTTGGGAGATACCTTAACCTCTGCACCTAGCACAGATATGTAATTAGGTGCTTGATATGCATCTGTTAGATGAAACAATGTGCCAAGAAACTAATCCCCGAAGGTGAGAAAGCAAAAATTGCTGAAAAGCACAGAACAGGTTTCTGCAGCATTTCAACTCAAGTGGGGGCTCCCTGACCTCTGATCTGCCATGACCTCTGAAGCTTTTGGACACAACTGGATCCATGTGATGTATTTGAACAAAGCTCCAGATAAAGTTTTATTGCCAGTGCACGAGAGACATCATGCACTGGCATAATGAAGATATTGCTTGCAGTGTATGAGAGATTTTAAAGACATTAACCAACCTGCAAGGCATGGATACTTAACTAATGGCATGGGCTCTGGGTGGCCAGGGCACTCTTGATGCTCTGCCAGGTATTAATTGTTTTGCTGCTTGATCATGAAGTATGGAAGATCATGAGAGGGGGACAGGGGGCTCTCTTGAGAGGCTCAGGGTAGCAACTGCTTACCAACATTTTGGAGTATTTCAATGTTTTGTTTTAGGTGTATCAGTTCTGTTCCAATGTGCCTCTTTTTTTTTTTTTTTTTTTTTTTTTTTTGAGACTGAGTCTTGCTCTGTTGCCCAGACTGTAGTACAGCGGCATGATGTCGGCTCACTACAACCTCCACCTTCTAGGTTCAAGCAATTCTCTTGCCTCAACCTCCCAAGTAGCTAGGATTGCAGAATTGCACCAGCACACTCAGCTAATTTTTGTATTTTTAGTAGAGGCAGAGTTTCACCATGCTGACCAGGCTGGTCTCAAATCGCTGACCTCAGGTGATCTGCCTGCTTCGGCCTCCCAAAGTGCTGGGATTACAGGCATGAGCCACCATGCCTGGTCTGTTCCCATGTACTTCTGTTTCCTTCAATCTCATAGAGGGGAAGAAAACAAGGGCAAGGGCCAGACTGGCCACTGGGAGCCCACCTTTTGTTAGGCTTCTATAAGGTACCCTGTACAACTCAGTTGGCAGGGGTTCCCCATGGAAGCCCTTTTCAAAGCAGCAAGTGGGAGAGTAGGGAAGGAAGGAATGAACAGGGCTCAGCGCTTTCTGTCTGACTCTCTTTCAGGTTGGGTCTCTGCCATTTCCCGTAAGGTTCCTGTCTTTTAACATCTTTGTCCCCTGCCCCCTCCACTTCTGAGTTTCATCAAGATCTGCACCTAACTGATTCATTTTATGTACACATCACACCTAATCCTCACTGGTAACAGATGATGAGGAAACTGTGGCCTAGAGAGGTCAGATCACTTGCCTAAGGACACATGCCTTTGAGTGGCGGGGAAGGGACTCCGACCCAGGACTGCCCAGTTCCAGAGTTCATGAGCTTAATTGCTAGGCTAAGCCATGTAAATAATTGACTTGAATGATGGAGCACAGTGATTCAGCTACAGAGTCTGGTGACGCATTGCTCTTTCCACCAATGGGTGAACCTGCCTTGTGCTCTGGTTAGATTTGTGCCCAGGGACCAATGGATCTTACCCAAAGACTTGAACACTGTGGTCTTCTCACAGTGGGCTGGCTTCACTCCCTTAATCACTTCTCCCAGCTCAGCAAAGATCTCAGCCTAGGAAACAAACATAAGCTGACCGAGGTATGAAGTTAAAGTCTGTTCGGGGTTGGCTTTTGAAGCCAGCCCAGATTGGTTTTGAAGCCTCTTGAACTAGGTAAGACATATTTGATTAAAGAAAAAAAAAAAAAAAAAAAGATCCTTTGTACACTGGATGATATTAGGGAGGAGACTGGCCCCGAAATCCTTTTGGAGTGGCATCTGCTTTTGTGATACCGTAAACACAGAGATTCAAGTTGGTGCTCAGAGAGCTGTCCTGCCAAGATCATTGTGTCAGTGAGGAAATAGACATGCTCTTATCTGAACATGCATGCCAGCAGCTCTCTTCTTGCTTTTATGCTCTGATTATGACACTAAAATGAAGCCAGAAGGTGGGCAACACAGTCTTATCGCGTTGGCCACATTGGGAAGGTTTCCAGGCTGCAAGAAGCTTCCAATCCCACTGCTTTATAGGACAGCCAAGCAAAAAGAAAGAAGAAAGAAAGAAAGAAAGAAAGAAAGAAAGAAAGAAAGAAAGAAAGAAAGAAAGAAAGAAAGAAAGAAAGAAAAGAAAAGAAAGAAAGAAAAGAAAGAAAGAGAAGAAAAATTCATTAAGCTTCTCCATCCAGGCAAAGGAGAAAAAAATCAAAAAATTCATTGAGCTTCTCCATCCAGGCAAAGGAGAAAAAAATCAAAATTCATTGAGCTCTGTCCAGGCAAAGGAGACAGGAAAACACATGTCACCACCATAATGCCCATATTTTTCTGGAATGAAATTAAAGCAAAATGTTTAGGAACTCTTTCCCCTACAAGGAGGAGGGGTGGCTGAGGTCTCGAGCAGGCCAAATTGGAAGGGAAGTTAATGAAACCCTGGGACGCAGGTGAGGCCAGCCAGGTGGCAGCCCTGACCGGGGTCAGAAGAGCCTCACCCCTGACAACAGGACATCTCCGGACTCCTTCAGGGCCGCCTCCTGGGAATCCACGTACAGCACAGCTTCCTTCATGAGCTCATCATCCAGTTCTCTCCAGTCGGGTCTGCTGGCTCCAACAGCTAAGAGACAGAAAAACAGACCCTAAGCCCAGAAATAGTCCCAAAGGCTACGGAGAAGGCCAAAGCATGGGAGAGAGGTGATTGAAGGACCCGTGAGCACACTCAGATTCAAAACACTCCTTCATTCCCCAGGCAATGCCTCTCCCAATCAGTAAGATGAAATACTTATTAAGAAATAGGCCAGGTGTGGTGGCTCATGCCTGTAATATCAGCACTTTGGGAGGCTGAGGCAGGCAAGTCACTTGAAGCCAGGAGTTTGAGACTAGCCTGGCCAACATGGTGACACCCCGTCTCTACCAAAAATACAAAAAATCATCCAGGCGTGGGGGCTCTCGCCTGTAGTCTCAGCTACTCTGGAGGCTGAGGTACGAAAATCGCTTGAACCCAGGAGGCGGAGGTTGCAGTGAGCTAAGATCACACGGCTGCACTCCAGCCTCTGGGCAACAGAGTGAGTCTCCATCTGAAAAATAAAATTAAAAAAAAAGAATACTACCTACCATTTTCTGCCTTTCTATTCCATATCCCACCTCATTGCTAAAAGATTTTGAGACGACATAGCATTCATTTACAGGATGTCTACTATCTGTGGGATGTTTTACACATACTATTTATGGTTCTCACAAGTACATTTCAAAGTCTGGTTCTCACTTAACAGATGCACAAATGGAGGATCAAAGAAGTGAAGGTGTTTGCCAAGGTTAAGGATTTGATGGGTGAATCTGGGTCTGAGAGCACCTGGGATTTCACGCCTCCTCCGCTTAACAGGATTAACAACTTCCTCACACAAATCCCGACACAGAGACATCACTTGGAGCTTATTCACACCCCATTCTCCTTTTGCTCTTCTGTCATTCCCATTCCTCACCCCCAACCAGTTCTTTTAATATCTATTTTTTTCTTTTTGGAGAGAGGGTCTCACTCTGTTGCCCAGGATGGAGTTTAGTGGTGCACCCAGAACTCACCACAGGCTGGGTGCAGTGGCTCATGCCTGTCATCCTAACACGGGGAGGCCGAGGCAGGAGGATCACTTGAAGTCAGGAGTTTGAGACCAGCCTGGCCAACATGGTGAAACCCCATCTCTACTAAAATACAAAAATTAGCCAGGTGGGATGGCACACACCTGTAATACCAGCTACCGGGAAGCAAGAGAATCTCTTGAACCTGGGAGGCGGAGGTTGCAGTGAGCCAAGATTGTGCCACTGCACTCCAGACTGGGCAACAGAGCGAGACTCTAGCTCCAAAAAAAAAAAAAAAGAAAGAAAAAGAAAAAGAAAAAAAACCACAGCCTCAAACTCCTGAGCTCAAGTGACCCTCCTGCCTCAGCCTCCCAAACTGCTGGGACCACAGGCGCGTGCCATCATACCGCTTTTCCCTCACCCCCGTTCTCTGTTCACTCGTGACAAAAAGAAAGCCCAGTGTCAAGGAGAAGTCTCGGCACAAAGAAAAATGGCTCCATCCTGGCCCTGAGCGATCACATCCCCTGCGGAGTCCAGGACCAGAATGATGAATCCAAGGTGTCGAGCATTGGGACACAGGAGAATGCAGAGGCTGCCACCAAAAGCCTGCAGGGCCAGGGAGGTAATGCAAATGAGCCAAGCTGGTCAGAGGGACTGAATTCGATGTGGTGGAGACTGAGGGGTGCAGAAGCCAGCCGGCCCTTTCGAAAGGAACATTGTTCAGCTCCAGCTAATCATTACCACGTGTGAATATAGATCCACTGTTACCAGATATGCCCCAGTTGTTTTCTTAAAAGAGAAACAGGAAATCTATTTGCATATGTCACTCCTTGAGTTTTAGATCACACTATGGTCCAAACAAAGCACATCTGCTGGCTGGATCCAGCCCCTAGCTGGCTAGTCTTTAAAAAACGCTATAAAGCCTTATACAAATATAAGAGAGCATTTATATGCCTTCTCGAACTGCTGCCCAGTCTTCTCCACTTATTCCCTCCCATGCTGTTCTTCCTCATGCTAATTTCCAAAGAGCGTGGTGTAAAAATGTCCATCTTGAAGGTTGTTTGTGCGGCAAGTTCTACAGAACAAAAGCACTAGCTGAGGAAGCTCGTAAATAAATCATAAGCTGGTGGGAACAAAACCCCCACTTCTCAGGCCTCCCCTTCTCTCTGGACTGTTTCCCCTGCACAACCACTGCTTATGAGCAGGGCGCATCCTCAAAGGGTTGTGTGAGGTCACTCAGACGGATGGAGGTGGGCCAGGCAGTAAAGAGAGGGGCCCAAAGGATCAGGCTCTGGCTTGGCTGTGATGGAGGTAAATGAGTGAGGGTCGAAGACAGGCTGACAGGGTGTGGGGGCAGGAGGAGAGAAGCGTGGAGGAGGTTGGAACTGGGCCTGTCCCTCTGCTGAGCTATAAACTAAGTAAAATCTGTTGTTGGTGTTTCCCTGTTGTCTGCGCTTGTGACACATTTTTCTTAAATGTATGTGATGCCTCTGTGAACACATAAACCAATTTTGTCCCTGGGCCAGGAAAACAGAAGAGATGCCTTGACTCAAAATCAAGTCAGCCCTTCCTGGAGAGCGATTCCAAGGGAGAGAGGGATTCAACATAAGGGAGATTCTCTGTGTCTGGATGTGAGGATGGAAAGGGCATGTGGTGGGGGATTTGTGTCGTCTCCGGGAGCTGAGGATGGCCCCAAGGAAAGGGGCTCCCCTCTCCATCCTCCAACGTAAGGAAAGGGATCCTGCCACACCATAGAGACGGGAAGAGGACCTCCGGGCATGAGCTGAGTGCAGCCTGGATACCTCCCAGTTTCTTTTTTGCAAGACTTTGCGCAAAGGATCCAGCTACTCACACCTAGTCTCCTGAACCACAGGAACTGTGAGATGATAATAATGTGTTGTTTTAAGCTGGAAAAAAAAAATCAAGTCCATCTTCCTGAAGATGCAGCCTTGGAAACCCATTTCACCAGGAACTGGTTCCTTTCAATTTCCCAAATCTTTCCAGAAATGGTCTTATTGTTCACAGACTCAGCCCTGACTCACCTCTTACCCATTCCCTGGACCCAATCTGACCACCAGTACCATGCAGGCTGAGACTTTCAAATTACATTGACCCACTCCTCAAATATGCCATGTTCACTTCCACACTCAAGGCCTTTGTCTCTGCTGTTCCCTCTACCTGGGTTGCCTTTCCTTCAGCTCTTGGCGTGGCTGACTCTTCCTCCTCATTCAGGTCACAGCTCAAAAACCACATCCTGGCCAGGCACGGTGGCTCACGCTTGTAATCCCAGCACTTTGGGAAGCCGAAGCAGGTGGATCACAGGTCAGGAGTTCAAGACCATCCTGGCCAACACAGTGAAACCCTGTCTCTACTAAATACAAAAATTAGCTGGGCATGGTGGCGGGTGCCTGTAATCACAGCTGCTCAGGAGGCTGAGGCAGGAGAATGGCTTCAACCTGGGAGGATGAGGTTACAGAAAGCTGAGATCGCACCACCGCACTCCAGCCTGGGCGACAGAGCTAGCTAGGCTAGGCTGCATCTCGAAAAAAAAAAACCAAACAAACAAAAACCCCACATCCTAAGAGAGCTTCTCAGATAACCCTACTGAAAACACCTCCCTCTGCTTCTAACTTCCACTTCCACCACCAGCCTCTGTCACTCAGGGCCTTGTTCTTCCCAGTCTCATCTTTAGCTACAAACTATCTAGTTCCTCTATGTGTGTGTTTGTTATCTATCTCTCCTCACTGAAATTAACCACCAGGAAAACAGTGACTTTGACTGTCTGGTACTTGTGGCATCCACAGCATCTAGAATTGTGCCTGGCACATGGTAGAGATTCAGTAGGCATGTATGGTTGAATGCACCTTTATTTTACTTGGCTTTTGCCTGCTCATCTGCCCACGTGTGCAAAGCTCTTAGCTTCTCAGCTCACACCATGTGCTTGTCACTAAAACATGGAGCACTGAGACCATCTTTAAATCCTCTAAAATTTGCCTGCGCTGCTCACCAGAATCCGGTCTTCCTGTTGGAAGGCGATACTGAGTATTATTCAAAAGCTTGGGCTCTGAAGATAGAGTGCCTCAGTTCAAATCCCAGCTCTGCCATCAAGAACCTCTGATTTTGGGCTGAGCCCAGTGGCTCACCCCTGTAATCCCAGCATTTTGGGAGGCCGAGGCAGGCGGGTCATTTGAGATCAGGGGTTTGAGACCAGCCTAGCCAATACGGTGCAACCCATTGCTACTAAAAATACAAAAAAAATTTAGCTGGGCATGGTGGCAAGTGTCTGTAATCTCAACTACTCAGGAGGCTGAGGCAGAATCACTTGACCCAGCAGGTGGAGGTTGCAGTGAGCCGAGATTGTGCCACTGCCCTCCAGCTTGGGTGACAGAGTAAGACTCCATCTCAAAAAAGAAAAAAGAACCTCTGACTTTGGGAAAGTTATGTCATTTCTCCATGTCTTGGTTTATCCCCCTGTAAAATGGGGTTTATGATAGTAGTTCCTGTCTCATACGTTGGTTATAAGTATTAAACGATATTATATAGAGAATAATGTATACATAGAATAAACACCTGCAATAGTATTAGATATAGACCAGTTCTTGCTATAACACTCAGGGCCATTTGAAGGTCTGCAGAGGCCCCAGGCACCCTCATGTCTAGAGTTCCTTCTCCTGCCCCTCATCCTATCACACATATTTAAAAGAATATATATGTCACATAATAAATTACAGTACAAAAGAAATTTAAAATTTTATAAGTCTTAGTATTAAGAACAAATGACTCATTTGGCCTTTGTGATTTAAACTTCATCACATCTAAGAACTGAGCTGTGAATTACCATTTTACGTAATTTTACATGTTATGGCCAGGCACAGTGGCTCACACTTGTAATCAATCACAGCACTTTGGGAGGCTGAAGTGGGTAGATTGCTTGAGGCCAGGAGTTCGAGACCAGCCTGGCCAATATGGTGGTGAAACCTCGTCTGTATCAAAAAAAAAAAATAGCTGGGCATGATGGCACGAGGCTGAGGTGCAAAAATTGCTAGAACCCAGGAGGCAGAGATTACAGTGAGCTGAGATCTCACCACTGCACTCCAGCATGGGTGACAGAGTGAGACCCTGTCTCAAAAAAAAGAAAAAAAATTACATTTTATAGAACATTAAATATTCATTAGCTTCAGGTTTGCAATTTCCATTTTACATTTTTGGGAGCAAATTTTTTTTTGTTTTTGTTTTTGTTTTTTTCCTCTGAGACAAGAGTCTCACTCTGTTGCCCAGACTAAAGTGAAGTGGCACAATATTGGCTCACTGCAACCTCTGCCTCCTGGTTTCAAGCCATTCTCGTGCCTCTGCCTCAAGAGTAGCTGGGACTATAGGTGCAAGCCACTATGCCTGGCTAACTTTTGTATTTTTAGTAGAGATGGGATTTTGCCATGTTGACCAAGCTGGTCTCAAACTGCTGGCCTCAAGCGATCAACCTGTATCAGTCTTCCAAAGTGTTAGGATTATAGGCATGAGCCACTGCACCTGGCCCAATATTGTTTTTTCAGTCTCACATGTTCCTAAGACCTTTAGAAAGCTTGGGCATCTGCGTGAGTAAACTGGCTCTGCAGACGTAGCCGACTGGTCCAGTCTAGAGAGGAGCCTGGTTACCACCCATCATGCCTTATGGAGCTACTCTACTTACCATTGATGTGAGCTCCTGGCTTCACCCATTCACCAAACAAAATGGGCTCTGTTGCCAAGGTGACTGTGATGATCACATCTGCACCTGTCACAGCTTCCTGGACCGAGGAACAGACCTGTACCTCTCCTTGCACTGTGTCTGCAAACTTCTCTGCATTTTCTTTGGTGCGGTTCCATATCCTCACCTTCATTGGGAGTAACAAGAGGGACATTGGTGCCATTTTTTGGCTGCTTATGTTATACTGAGCCCAGGGATGCCAAGGGAAAGTTGAACCACTCTGGGATAGGGGCTGGTGGTTATCTAAATCACTCCAAAACCGTTCCCTATGGAGAATGGACATTTGATCAAGGGTACAGCATTAATTTGGACAAATACCTAGCCAGGTATTTGAAAATGAACTTTCTTTGCCACTTTCCCCTTTAAAAGAGGGTGGAAGTATTCACTTCTAGGTCAGGATGCATAGCCTCAACAACTTAATAGCTATTATATATTAATAGCATAATGAGGCTGGGTGCAGTGGCTCACGCCTATAATCCCAGCAATTTGAGAGGCCAAGGCAGGCGGATTGCTTGAGGCCAGAAGTTCAAGACCAGCCTGGTCAACAGGATGAAACCCCATCTCTATTAAAAATATAAAAATTAGCTGGGCTTGGTGGTACGCGCCTATAGTCCCAGCTACTCAGGAGGCTGAGGCAGTAGGATCACTTGAACCTGAGAGGCAGAGGTTGCAGTGAGCTGAGATCATGCCACTGCACTCTAGCATGGAGACAGAGCAAGACTCTATCTCAAAAAAAAAAAAAAATTGCATATTGATTAGCAGAGCAAGTTCTGGAGCCAGGTAGAAGGCTTGGAACCAATCTCTATTCCGCTACTTACTGAAATTGCTTCATGTCATTCAGCCTTAGTTTCCATGTCTGTGAAATGGAAATGGTAACCTGGCAAAGTCTGTGTGGAACCCACACTTTATGTCTGAGACCCTGTAAAGGAGTTGCAATGGGTAGGAGATTCATACAAAGGGTTATTTATGGCAGTGTTTTGCATGGAATAACTTGATCAGTGAAGAATAGGTAGAAAATTCAAAACCAGAAGAGTTTGAAGGTAAATGGCACAGCCGATAAAAACGACAAGAATGGCAGCTACAGCTGGAATCCTGGAAGGTGCTGGTGTTGGCAAAGGCCAGGAGCTGGGGACTTGTCGACGTGCTTGACAGCTTTCAATGTCTGGGTCAAGGGTTTGTCATGTGTCAACTAAAAATAAGACCTACAGAATCTCTCATAAGGAAATAGAATACATAAACAAACTTTATGTCTAAGTAAGTTCACCAGGCAAGGTGAAAAACCAGACATTTTGCCCAGCCAGAAGCACATGATTAACCTTTATACCCTTCTCAATAGAAGACTATGCAAGTTTTATGCAAAAATTCGTTCAGCCGAAAAGTGGTGTTAGAATGTTCAGTGAGACAGGCTATAAAATGGTTTATGTCTAACATGACTGAAACTGCTGAAAAAACTGAAGAGGGAAGATCGGAAAACATTAACTGCCTTTGAAAACAGATAAAAGAGCATTTTTCGTTTTCTTCCTTATATTAAACGTAATGGCAGCCAGGCACAGTGGCTCATGCCCTGTAATCCCAGAACTTTGGGAGGACAAGCCAGGTGGGTCACCTGAGGTCAGGAGTCCGAGACCAGCCTGGTCAACATGGTGAAACCCTATCTCTACTAAAAATGCAAAAATTAGCCAGGTGTGATGGCAGGCAACTATAATCCCAGCTACTGGGGAAGCTGGGGCCCGAGAATTCCTTGAACCCAGGAGGCAGAGGTTGCGGTGAGCCCAGATCATGCCATTCACTCTAGCCTGGGCAACAGAGCAAGACTCCGTCTCAAAAAAAAAAAAAAAGTCATGGCCAAAACAGCAATTACTTTTGCACTAACTTAATAGTTTATATTTCCCAAGGCAGTGGTTTTATTTTCATCATTAAATCATACTATGAATATGTTCCATCCCTTTTATACACACACATAAAATAAAAATCACATCAAACATTCCCAAGAGGAAGCACGAGCCACAACTGGGGGAAGGTGGACCAGTATGGAGACTGCAACAGAGAGAGGCTATGGCCTCCTGGTCTCCGGGTCTCATCCAATCCAGTTTCTTGATCCATAACCTTGAATACTTAAAAACTCTGCATTCTCCTAAGAAAAACATAATAGACAGGGCCTAAAAGGACAACTGAATGTATACAAGAGATGTAATAGAATCCTTTAACTGAGTAAGCTTGCTGTATCCTCAGGCCAAATGCCCTGTGAACTGAGGACTGGAAACAGGTAATCGGATCTTTCCCCAACTCTTCTCCTCCATCCCCTCCATCAGGGCTCCTGGGAAGTCATGAAGGTACAAGAATGGTCTAGATGGGACTCATGGCTTAATTATTTCATAATAACCTGTGGTGCCGTGAAGGACTACAGACAGGTCAGGGACCACTCCCTCCCTCCTCTCCCACTCCCGCCCCTGGACTTACTTCCTTAAAGGAGAACTGCTCTGTGAAGATCTCATAATGGCTGTAGGCTTGGACCCCAGCCCCAAGGATGCACAGCACTTCACTGCTGGGTGGTTTCAGAAACTATTTGAGAGAAAGGAAGTGGCAAAGGTCAAGGGAGACACTAGCAGGTGGGTACAAAACTATGGTTTTAGTATTAGGTGACTTCTGCCCTCTCTTCTGCCTCCCTCAAGAGCTTGCAGGCAATCCAGAGAATTTCACTTTGGGTCTTGGTTTCCCCAGTGTCGAGTGGGAAGAGAAGGAAGAAGGCTTCACTGAGCAGCTAATATATGCCAATGTGTTGACCCCATGATCTCATTTAGTCTAGACATTGGCCCTATGAGCTGGGGATTCCTATTATCTTCTTCTTACAGATTAAGAGACTGAGGTCCAGAGAAGTGAATTTGGTCTGGGTCTTAAAGCTTTTTTAAAAAATTATTTTTCATTTTTTTTTAAATTTTATTTTATTTTTTGAGGCAGAGCCTCTGTTGCCTAGGCTGGAGCGCAGTGGCACGATCTCAGCTCACTGCAACCTCTGTCTCCCGGGTTCCAGTAGTTCTCACTGCCTCGGCCTCCGAGTAGCTAGGACTACAGGTGCGCACCACCATGCCCAACTAATTTTTGTGGCTTTGGTAGAGGCAGGCTTTCACCATGTTGGCCAGGCTGGTCTCAAACTCCTGACCTCAGGTGATCTGCCAACCTCAGCCTCCCAAAGTGCTGGAATTACAGGTGTGAGCCACCACTCCTGGCCAGGTCTCACAGTTATTAAAGGGCACAGTGGGGCTCTAAAGTCACATCCTCCATACTCCAAAGCTCATGTCCTTTCTTCTGTGCCACCATATCTCAGGTATATGCTCAGCCATACCCACTTCTCAGAGCTCTGAGCTATTTCTAAGAGCTCCCTGGAATCTGTGAGCCCTTCCTTCCCAGGGTTCTAGCAATATTCTGAGTCCACTCTGTTGATCCTTTCATAGCCTCTGTCTTCTGCTAAAGATGAAGGTAGAATTAGCATCTATGGCATCTCCTGAGGGTGTCTGTGTTTGAGAGCAGGATTCTGTGACCGACTCGTGTCCATTGCCACCTCTCCAATGAAGCCTTTCTGACCTCCTTAATAGAATACACCAGGCCACAGCACTTACTTGTTTGTAGATTTTCTTCTACTGGTTTTTAAGCTCCGTGAAGACAGAGGTAGTCTTATCTGCCTAGAACTGGCACATGTCTACTATGGCCTACAAGAAGCAACACTGAATCTCAACCTCAGTACTTACTAATATTTGGGCTGGACAATACTTTGTTGGGGAGGGATGCCATTCTGTGTATTACAGGATGTGCAACAGTATCTCTAGTTTCTATCCATTAGATGTTAGTAGCATTTTCCATCATCCCTTCAAGTTGTGGCAACTAAAAATGTCTGCACACCACTAAATGTCTCTGGAGCGGGTGGCAAAATCATGCTAAGTGGAGAATCACTGGCATAGAGGAAAGACATCACTTGGCTCTCAACATCATATGTATTAAACAAAACTCTATTGTGCCTTTTCTCTATTTAATTTAGTACACTTTTAGTTACCCAGGTCTGTTCTTTCATACAGCACTACTCACTGAAATTCTGGAGTATAATATTTAAAAAGTGAAAAGTCTTCTTAACTATTAATTACTAGCAAAACAGCATCTCTGAAATATTAGGAATTAATTATATCTCTTGCAGCTACCAAAGGAGAGATACCATTCTGTGCCATAAAATATAGTTCAACATCTCTTATTTGAAAAGATTTTAAAATGATAATATCCATAAGACTATAACTCTGTTTCTGTCTGATAAGGATAAGTAGTTGATTTTTCCTTAATTGTTACCATTTTCTTCTGTTCTCAGTTAATATGAATCTATTCTTGAAAGAATACCTGAGCTTCAGAAGTTGTTACAGTATCCTATAAAAGTAACCTTCAACTTCCTAAACTAAATCTGTAATTCTGATTTGTTGTCTTGATAATTTGTTTCCCTGGCAATAGTGTGATAATTCCTATATATTTTTAAATTTTTTTATTTTTATTTTTGAGACAGAGTCTCGCTTTGTAATCTAGGCTGGAATGCAGTGGTGTGATCTCAGCTCACTGAAACCTCTGCCTCCTTGATTCAAGTGATTCTCATGCCTCGGCCTCCAGAGTAGCTGGGGTTACAGGCACCTACCGCCATGCCTGGATAATTTTTTCTTTATTTTTTTTTGGTAGAGATGGGGTTTTGCCATGTTGGCCAGGCTGGTCTCAAACTCCTGACCTCAAGTGATCTGCCTGCCTCGGCCTCCCGAAGTGCTGGGATTACACGTGTGAGTCACTGCACCCAGCCAGTTTTTTAAAATGATGTATTTATGGGATTTATTAAATAGGATTAGTGACACTTCAGTCTTTTCTCATCAGCATGCAGGTTATTAAGTACATGTATATGAATCTGCTAGATTGCTAGGTTTTTCATTTAAAGAGTCTGAAAGTCTGTTTCCTTTGCATTTGCCAAGGCCTTGCATGGTCTGGTGATCTCAGCGCTGTAGCCCTCTCTCATGCCATCATGCCATGCTTCCCTGTACTTCCTGTCTTCCAGCCATACTAGCTTCCTTGCAGCTTCCCAAACTCCTGTACTTCCTTCAACCACCTTTGCATTAATTAATTCCTCTCCATAGGATGCTAGGCTGCTTTGTCTCCTCTGCCCCTCATAAGTAATTCCTATTATCCTTCAATCTCGGCTCAAATATCCCTTACAGAGGCAAGCCCACAGACTAGGTCAAGACCTACTGCTTTACACTCTCACAGCACTTGTCCTTGTCAGCATTTTACTTTCATATTTATTGCTGTAATTTTTTTTTTTTTTTGAGACTGAGTCTCACTCTGTTGTTCAGGCTAGAGTGCAGTGGCATGACCTTGGCTCACTGCAACCTCTGCCTCCCGGGTTCAAGCAATTCTCCGTCTCAGCCTCCCGAGTAACTGGGATTACAGGCACCCAACATCACACCCAGCTAATTTTTTATTGTTGTTGTTTGTTTGAGATGGAGTTTTGCTCTTGTTGCTCAGGCTGGAGTGCACAATCTCAGCTCACTGCAACCTCTGCCTTCCAGGTTCAAGTGATTCTTCTGCCTCAGCCTCCCGAGTAGCTGGGATTACAGGCATGTGCCACCTTGCCTGGCTAATTTTGTATTTTTAGTAGAGATGGGGTTTCTCCATGTTGGTCAAGCTGGTCTCAAACTCCCAACCTCAGGTGATCTGCCTGCCTTAGCCTCCCAAAGTGCTGGGATTACAGGTATGAGCCACCACACCTGGCCTTTTAAAAAAATTTTTAGTAGAGACGGGGTTTTGCCATGTTGGCCAGGCTGGTCTTGAACTCCTGACCTCAGGTGATTTGCCTGCCTCAACCTCCCAAAGTGCTGGGATTATAAGTGTGAGCCACTGCACCCGGCCTATTGGTGTGATCTTTGGACTGTACTTTGTCTTCCCCTCACTGGACCCTGTACTACATGATGGCAGGTACTGTATCTGGTTTTGCTCGCCCCATGCTGAGCAAAGAAACTTGCACTTGGTGGACACTGAAATATTTGTTGAATAAATGCATGCCAGTGCTAAATCCTGATATATACTGTCACCTTGAGAAAACATATCAAGAGCCTTCAATGAGGTTTATGTGAAACCCAAGCACAAAAGATTTATTGTGTTCATCAGAACTTAGAGCTCCCTATACTTATTCTCCCCACAAAAGCCCTCAATAAAAGAGAAGTGGTGGACAAGAAAATATTCTACTCTCAAGGCAACAAGTAAAATAGACCCTTTGTTCCTTACTGAATCAGTTCATCTGAGCCCCTAGAAATAAAGCTGTGAAGTTTCAGCCTAAACTTTGAAGTGTCTAAACTTTGAAGTGTCAAGGTTTCTTGATTCTTCTGGGAGCATAGATTTTTATTAATGCAACAAAGCAGTGTTATTGAAGGCTGGATCTACAAAAGTGTGGTTTCTAGATCTGACTAATCCTTACTCTTTGTGATTTTGATTTAGTAGGTCTGGGAATTTGGGTTTTTGAAAACTTCCCTAGCTAATGCTGCCGCATAGCTTGCTTGTATGGGAAATTTCTTAACTGGGACAAGACCACACAGCCTCAAAAGAACCCATAGGCACCTGGTTGTATGACTTCGGGAAACCCAAGTTTCTATTCTTTTCTGCGTAAAATGAGGCCATTCATACTTTCTCTGCCTTCCTCACAGAAACTCATAGTCCAGACAAGGGGTTGGAAATGATTTTGAAAATGACTACAGCTCTTTACAAATGACAGGCAGTAATACGAGATTCATTTTGTTCCGAAATTACCAGCAAACAGCGAGGAGTCCTTGATTACTTCTGTTGAGTCGGGTCTGGAAATAACTAAAAACTGGTTCACTGAGGTGGGTGCTGTTGGTCTACTCCCTTCACAAACAATTACCAGATTAATCCTCCCATTCTTTCCTTCCCAGCAGGTATCTAGAAAACCGTAACATACAACCTGAACACCTGGTCTTTGCTACTGCAACTTTCCCTGGGTGACCACCTTCCCTTTGTAATAACTTAGGAAAACCAGTGTCCCAAGACCTGGTACGTCCCCGTTTAATGTGAAAGACTCCAGTCGTTCCCACAGACATCCTGTTTTCTAAGCCTCTTCCTCTTAATTCTAACTTCAAAAATACTGTTTTTCTTATAGGGTGACTTGACATTGCTTGGAAACATCATCGCCCCACTGCTAACTGTTTCCTCTGCCCGGAGCGCCCTTCCACATTTTTGCATGGTTCACTGACTCACTGCTTTCAGTTTTGACTCAGAGGTTACCTTCTCAGGGAGGTCTTTCTTGGATAATGTAAAATGTTACACCTTCTCCAATACTCTCACTTCTGCTTTATCTTCATCTTTCCAACATGTTATGTGGCTTTTGGGTTGTTGGTTTTATTTCTTAGCAAATTCTAGGCACACTATTAATCATTTATTAATAGACACTAATTAATGACATTAGTTATTACTATTTAAGACATTATTAAACTCAAAGGTTTTGGGGGTTTTTTTTGTTTTGTTTTGTTTTGTTTTGTTTCGTTTTGAGACAGAGTCTCACGCTGTTGTCCAGGCAAGTGCAGTAGCTTGATCTCAGCTCACTGCAACCTCTGCCTCCCGGGTTCAAATGATTCTCCTGCCTCAGCCTCCCGAGTAGCTAGGATTACAGGTGTGCACTACCATGCCTAGCTAATTTTTGTGTTTTTATGAGAGATGGGGTTTCACCATGTTGACCAGGCTGGTTTCCAACTCCTGATGTCAAGTTATCTGCCCACCTCAGCCTCCCAAAGTGTTGGAATTACAGGCATGAGCCACCACACCTGGCCAGTATTTCACTTTTTGTTATCTACCTCCCTCGTGTGTGCCCCTCTGTTTTGTTCATTGCCATTTCCCTAACATTTAGACAGTGCCTGACACGATAGGAGCTCAGTCAATACTCGTTCAATGAATCCATGGATCTGGCTTGGATCTGTTCAGCTCACTCTCCCTCTTGTGTAGTACTAGCTTTGGTCTATGGGGCAATCATACTCTCTTACCAGGGGCAATGTGGTACAGGGACAAGAAGCCAGTCCTGGATGCTGGAGAGGTCAGGTATTAAATTCTTACTCTAGCACTTATTACCTGTGTGATCCTGGACCACTCACACAACCTCTCTGAGATACATTCCTAGATCTGGCAAGTGAAGAGAATCATTTCTATTCTTCAAGACTGATGGGAAGATTGAGGATTATGCATGTAAGGTACCTGGAATCTGGTCATGCATATTAAATGGTAGCTAATAATTTTGTGAATTACTGTGCTCACGTGATATCTCATATCTGGCATCTGGAATTCCAGCTATGTCCAACAGAGACCAAAATTAAGTTCCTCACTTCTCCTTTAGTCTCTCAAGATTGAGACACCAGACCCCACCCAACAGTTCACCTTCATAGTACAGCCAGCCACTAATCTTACCTTGGTGGCAATGGCAGAGACTGCAGCTGTTCTCTTTGCAGTTATGACACTTCCATCCATGACCTTGGAGGAAAGGAGAAACAGTGAGCAAGGGAAACCCCTGTCCACTACTTAAACTAGAAGAAACAGTTCTAAAATATCAGCCTAGGAAGTTTTATAGCATCCTCCAACAGCATGGGTTTGGTGTCAGACCTGGATCCAATTCCTCCACTTAAGAGATATTTAACTTTGAATAAACACTGTAATCTCTAAGTGCTGGTTTCCTCACCTGTAAAAACAAAGATAATGCCAGTCATTCAGAGGTTTATTTTGAAGATTAAATGCACTGGCATATCTGGAAACATCTAGCACATGGTGAGCGCTCAAGAACTGCCCATTTTCTTTTCTTTCCCTGAGATTCTCAAAACACCAGATTAAGAAGGAACTTGAGAGAGAAGGTTGCCATTTGACAAGGGCCATGAAACTCTACCTTAGTGACTCTCCGTTCCTGCTGCACATGAGGAAAGCTTCATGAAGATATAGATGTTCAGATACCACCCTTAGATTAATCTAGTCCGTATCTTTTCTAGGAGTGAAATACAGACAGCCCAGGTGATTCTGATACACAGCAAAGTTGAAGATTATGCCTCACTAGTAACAAGCACCCTCTGCATTCTTCTCTGTTTATAAGTTATTCATCTCAGCTTACCATAAAAAAAAAAGTAGGCATCATCAACCTCATTTTACAGATGAGGAACTGAATCACCATGTTACTGAGCAGATTCAGCTGTCACCTAGTTTCAAAGCCTCAGGTCCTACCCCCCTGGGGACCACTGCTGGCAGGTAGTATGAATGCCATCTCCATTGGATGAGTGTAAGGTAGGGAGGGATAGATATTCTCAAAGGAGTGTTGAACAGCCAGATTCTTTGGAGATCCAGAAATTCAGAGGAAAACTAAGGACATCGTAACACCCAGCTTGGAGTGTGCAGACCACAAGAGTTAACCGTCAGAGAGACCTAAGAGTGATTCTTGAGTCTTTTGCTAACCGGATGTGTGACCTCAAGCAAAGTGACTCTACCAACCTGAGCCTCAAGGACCTCAATAGAAATGGGGGGGAAGGGGAGGTAATAAAAACTCCCAGAGGAATATGTCAGAATTGAATGTGATCAGTGCCTCCTTCTTGGCACATAGTGCCCAATATGTGGCAGTTAAAATGGCGGTAGTCTTAGGAGAGTCTGGACCTATGCACTGGGGACTGAGTCTGAGCAGCTCTGAAGTCCAGCCATGCTAATTGTTAGTTACATAAACCTAGGTAAGTTGAACATAGTTGCTCTGACTCAGTTTCCTCATCTGTGAAGTGGGAGCAACAATGTTGCCCAGCACATAGAATGGTTTTAAGTATTAAGAGAATTAATAAATGCGAAATGTTTAGAACAGTGCCTGACACATTAAAAAGTATGCCATTAACACAAGCTACTGCTACCTTTTGATACTGCGATTAGATATTAAAACAGGTCACACTGTATACCCCTCCAAAAAGGCTCCTAGGGATTATAGAACACCCCGTCTTTTCCATGTAGACAAGGATCGAGTAAGTAAATGTTCCCTTGGCTAATGGATTAGTTCAAGCTGTGTATTTGGGGTAACTGAGTATAGGACAAGGACATATGCAAGAATGACAAGATTATTATTTCCACACTGTCACATGCTTGAGGCAGCAGTGGGCGCTGGTGCTGTGTTATGCATCCTCAGGCAGTCCTAGAAATAGATACATGGACACAGACAACCTTCAGTGTCGCTGGTATCCAGTCACTTGCAGAGGGGCAGGGTAGTCACAATTAAGACTCCCCTGCTCATCGAGAACTCCCTTTTGAGCTTAATGCCGGGCCCAAGGGCCCCACTTCACCCGGGGACAGGAAGTTGCTCACCGCCAGCAGGGTGCCATTGCTGGGTTCAAAGAGTAGCACAGTAGCCTGGTGGGAGGGGACGATGGAGGTGATGCTGCGGTCCTCATAGAAGGTGACCAACTTGGTGGTCAGGGCATCCTCTGCAGCACTGTAGGCGGGCATGACCCCCAGGTAGCTACAAGGAGAGAGGGAGCAGCTTCAGCCCCTTCTCATAAATGCTGGGGTCTCTTTTAAAGTTCTCATATACCTTCCTTTCTCTTTCCTTCGTCACTGCCCCACTGGCCCTCTCCCAGGCCCCGCATCCCTCTGCCCTTCCCTTAGACACCACGCATAGTGTGTTCCGAAGTCCGGCTCTGGATCAGAAAACCATCCTCCCAGCTCTACCACTTAGTAGCCGTGTAAGCTTAGATAAGTTACTTAAACTCTCCGAGCCTCAGTTTTCCATCAATAAAATGGTGGCATCAGTACTTCCCTACGTGGAGAGTGTGCCGAAATAAACAAGGTAACACCCGTAAAGCGCCCACTTGGCACACCAGGTAGCGCCTATTAAAAGTGGCAGCTGTTAGCAACGATTCTGCAAGCCGTCTCTTCCCTCCTCCCACCGCTCCTCTTACCGCTCCTCTTTCTGCTCCTCCTCTTCCCTCTTTCCAGTTGCTCCTGCCCCGGGCCCCGATCCTCCTTACTCACCCCCTGTGCTTGGTCACCGGCACCACTGTGCGCACGGGCTGCATGACCCCTCCTTCGGGGCCGCTGGAGAAGTTGGCCAGGGCCGTCTCTAGAGGCGGGATGAGGAGGCTGGAGCTGCGGAGGTGTTCCTCCACCTCGGCCGCGCTCAGGAACGCTGGTACCCGGCTCATCTCGCCACCTGCCTTCCCACCTCAGTCTCTGCACCGCGATCCACCGACCGTCGGCTGCGCCCTCTGTGAGCGCGCCCGCTGCGCTGCGGAGCCGCCTGCCGGTCACCGCCCAGCCTCCGGGGGCGGAGCAACCCCACCCCGCCCCGCCCGCCAGCCGTCTCCGCCCCCTGCGCCCACCCCGACCCCTAAGGGCGGGCGAGACAGGTCCCTTCCAGCAACGGATTCCCCAAGATGGGCATCGAGGTGGCGGGCTGGGAGTCACTATTGTTCGGTCCGCTTTCTCAGTTCCTGTAATAGACTATAACCACATTCCTTGACTTTTGATTCCTACCTAACCCTTCCCTATTAACTCGCTTTTTGCTGCTGTCTAGGTCACTGTGCCTGGGAAAGAATGGACAGGGCAAACGGTAACGGGGCTCCTTTATTTCTTAAATTGTTGCCTACCGCTAGGAGATTAAAGGAGACGGAGGCTTATTTTATTTGTTTTTTCTTTTAATTCTGTCCCGATCTGGAGCCTCTGATCCTAGTCTTCCTCCCACCTGTACCCCAGATGGCTGGCGTTTGATTGTTAAGAATGCACAATTTTCTCACAGGCCAACTAACCTAACCTTCGCCTTTAAAGGGGGGAAGTGTGCAGGGCAAGGTGTAATGATTTCCATCTCACAAAAAGCCAAAATGCAGGATCTTTTATTCAAGGAGTTTTTTACCTGAGATGGGGAAATAAAATAAGAAGGGAATGATGTAAAGCTTAAGGCAATAAATTCTAGCCATCAAATCAGTGATAGGAAAAGTAAGTTAATTCAAAGAAAAGAGAGATTACCTTGACCTGGAGTGGTTAGATAAGGGCTTCATGAAGGAGTGGGGAGAAACCAAGTTCTGAAATAATAACAGCATTGACAGCAATGATCACATCAACAGGTTATTGATCTTCACTATGTACCAGATACCGCACCATGCACTTTATGTACATTATCTCATTTAATTATACAACAACTTCTAAGGTAGGGAGGTGGTGGTGTTAATTTTACTGTCCATTGGAGGCTCTGAGAAGGGAGGGAATTTAGTTATAGGTCATCCACCAAATCAGCAGAGGAGTTGGTTTTGCCCTTGGTTGGACTTCAGAATTATATTCCTAATCATTAAGCTACTTTGGCAGAAAGAGAGAAAGAGATCATTCAGGCTAAGTGAAGCTCTAGAGTGTAAGGCATGTTGAACAGCTCTGGGAACAGTGAGTTGCCAGATCTGTCGGGCTGGAATAAGGTGCTGAGGTCTAGGAGTATCAGGAGATAAAACTGAGAATGATTATTGGAGTCAGGCAGATAAGAATGGTGATTCTTGGCTGGGTGCGGTGGCTCACGCTTGTAATCCCAGCACTTTGGGAAGCTGAGGCGGGTGGATCATGAGGTCAAGAGATCAAGACCATCCTGGTCAATATGGTGAAACTCTGTCTCCACTAAAAATACAAACATTAGCTGGGCATGGTGGTGCATGCCTGTAGTCCCAGCTACTCGGGAGGCTGAGGCAGAAGAATCGCTTGAACCTGGGGGTTGCAGTGAGCAGAGATCCTGTCACTGCCCTCCAGCCTAGCGACAGAGCGAGATTCCATCTAAAAAAAAAAAAAAAAAAGGTGGGGGGTGATTCCTAGGAAAGAAATTACATGCTCCAAGAGAATAAGCATTTAGGAAGATGGGTCTTCTGCCCACAGAGACAGATGAGTAAGAGCAGAACCTGGAAGACAGGTCAAGAGGCAGGACTACTTAAGTGGTGCTTTGTGATATTTTGACTAGAAGTTACATAAGGCATTTTGTTGGAAATGGTCACATCACAATAAAAAACAGTGGATGAGTAGTGTCAAAATCAGTACCAATGAAATGAGAAATTGTACATTATGTATTTAGAAACAGTGCTTGGCACAGAGTAGCCACATAATAAGTGAACATGAGAGAGAGACAGAGAGAGGGAGGGAGAAATGCTGATGCTGGTTGTGGGGAAAAATTGATTTCAGTAACACAATTTTGTTTCTTCAGTTCACCACCCCTAGAAATTTATGCCCAGAGCCGCCAGGCTTATAGAAATGTTTTTGGGCCACTATGTGTGTTGTTATCATTATTATTACATAACATTTATTTGGTTTAGAAAATACAGAGATATAGCCCTGGCATAGTGGCTCACACCTGTAATCCCAGCACTTTGGGAGGCCCAAGAAGGTGAATTACCTGAGGTCAGGAGTTTGAGACCAGCCTGGTCAACATGGTGAAATCCTGTCTCTACTAAAAATACAAAAATTAGCCAGGTATGGTGGTGGATGCCTGTAATCCCAGCTGCCTGGGCAGCTGGGGCAGGAGAATCGCTGGAACCCTGGAGGCAGAGGCTGCATTGAGCCAAGATTGCACCAACTGCAGTCCAACCTAGGCAACAGATTGAGACTCTGTTTGGCGCTTTGTTTTAGTGAATGTAAACTAAAAATAAAATTCTACACCCCCCAACTGCTGCATGAACCCCCTCTGGGCCAAGGGGACCCCAGAAAAACCTTAAAAACTTAGTTTCCAGTCATGATGGGATGGGAAGTCAGACATGCCTCGTTACATCCTCTCCTTTATGGAGTTTAGACACAACTGAGCAGACTTAATGTTAAAACAGAGATTGCAAGACTGACAGAACAGACTCTTTGTGACAATACAATAACAAATGATAAACAGGATCAAAGGCCATGCCAGGCCAGACTTAAGTCACCCACCCTTACACTTAAAGAAAATAACTATGTTCCAACTGTCACAAAGTTTTTCATTTTCTCTAGCAGCTAAACAAACACTTTCTTGAAGTTAAACAATATTTTTATTTTTCTTTCCCCTAGCCCTGATTAAAGAAGACAGGCAACATGGCCGGGCGCAGTGGCTCACACCTGTAATCCCAGCACTTTGGAAGGCCTTAAGAAGGGTAGATTGCTTAACGTCAGGAGTTTGAGACAAGCCTGGCCAATGTGGTGAAACCCCGTCTCTACTAAAAATTCAAAAATTAGCTGGGCGTGGTGGCACACACCTGTAATTCCAGCTACTCTGGAGGCTGAGGCAAGAGAATCGCTTGAATCCAAGAGGTAGAGATTACAGTGAGCTGAGATCAAGCCACTGCACTCCAGTCTGGGCAACAGAGCAAGACTCCGTCTCCAAAAAAAAAAAAAAAAAAAAAAAAAGGCAGTAGGCTATACACACACACACACACACACACACACACACACACACACACACAATTTGTTTTGCTGTGAAATGGAGTCCCTTTCTGTTGCCCAGGCTGGAGTGCAGTGGTGCAATCTCGGCTCACTGCAACCTCCCTTCCCGGGTTCAAGAGACTCTCCTGCCTCAGCCTCCTGAGTAGCTGGGATTACAGGTGTGTGCCACCACGCCCAGCTAATTTTGTTGTTGTTGTATTTTTAGTAGAGATGGGGTTTTGCCACATTGGCCAGACTGGTCTCAAACTCCGGACCTGAGTGATCCACCTGCCTCAGCCTCCCAAAGTGCTGGGATTACAAGGCATGAGCCACCATGCCCAGTCAAAGATGGGCAATATTAAAACAATTACAACTCATCCAGTACACAGATACTGACTAACTGACCCCTTGTTCCATAACTACAACTTGATTAGACAAGAGACTGATTTCAGTAACAGAATTGTTACTGAAGTCTCCTGATAAGACTACCAACCATAGAATGGTTCTGGCTGACTTACAGAGGGTGCACACTTGCACGGCTTCATGTTCTGAAAAGACCTTTTGATGTATCAAGCTGAATTGTAAAACATTTGAAGATGAGTTGAAGATGAGTTGTATGTAACATGCATGTTTGTTAAATATGCAAGCATCAGGACCACTTTCATGAATATTCATAGCTTCTTCTGTCACCTGTTGAATATGTATATTTAGCCAACCTGGTCAGCATAAAGCTCCTACCCCAACCCTCCTCCTTCAAAGTGCCTGTCTCTGATCTTGGCCAAGGCATGTGATATGGTTTGGCTCTGTGTCCTCACCCAAATTTCATTTTATAGCTCCCATAATTCCCATGTGTTGCAGGAGGGACTGGGTGGGAGATGACTGAATCATGGGGATGGGTCTTTCCTGTGCTGTTCTCATGATAGGGAGTGGGTCTCATGAGATCTGATGGTTTTAAAAATGGGAATTTCCCTGCACAAGCTCTCTCTTTGCCTGTTGCCATCCACATAACATGTGACTTATTCCTCCTTGCCTTCCACCATGATTGTGAGGCCTCCCCAGGCATGTAAACCGTAAATATAATAAACCTCTTTCTTTTGTAAATTGCCCAGTCTCAGGTATGTCTTTATAGGCAGGATGAAAACGGAATAATACAGCATGCTTCTGAGCATGCTGTATTATTCCTTGCAGGCTGTAACCCCTTACAAGTAAGTCTCCTCCTTTCTAAATTTATAAAGCGTGTGTGTGTGTGTGTGCGTGCGTGTGTGTGTGTGTGTGTGTGTGTGTTTAAGTTAGCAAGGAGAAAAAAAGCAAAACCAAATACTCATCAACTAAAAGAGATATGAAATAAGAAAGCCAGATATTTATTTGCTTTCATGGTAAATTAAGAATTTAGCTCGGATTAAATAGAAATCTTATTTCTGACTCCTGAATTACTAGAAAGTTTATTAATCTTTTTTCTGTTAAGTCATTTTTATCATAGTAATTTCATTATCTTAACAATAACAAAATAAGAAACCTCAATAATGGGAATTCACTCCAGCGAATCCTGTCAAAACAGGACAAGTCTGCAAATCATCTCAAACTGTCTTCCTTATAAAGCTTTGGATCACACCATCTAGGTCCTCAGTAAAGTAGCACTGAGAAAACTGGTCTTGGTTCCATCAGTTCTGTTGAGACCAGAGGCACAGAGAACTAACTATCCCAAGCCTCCAATAATAAGTATTATTAATAAGTAGCATATTAAATATTAGGTATTATTGAGGTTTATTTTATTATTGTTAAAATAATGAAATTACTATTATAATCATGACAACAGAAAGAAGATTAAAAAACTTTTTAGTCATGCAGGGGTCAGTATTGAGAAAGTTGGTGTAAATCTCTGTTCTCTGCCCTCCGCTGAG